ACGTTAACAAAATATAGCCAAGCATTTATGTATTGATTTGTAACCATTAGGGTATATCATCGCATCATTTTTTGTCTGCTGGTGTTAGATTTGTACTTTCATAATTCTACCCTTGACCTTATATAAAAATTTGCTAAGTTGTTTATTCAACAGGTATTAAGCACTCACATATGCTGTGAACGATGCAAGATGATTTCTGTCTTCCAAGAAATCAGAGGCAAGTGGCAGATAGAAGGTGAATATTTACAGAATGTTTAAATAAGGGCAACAGCCAATGCTTCCATTAGCATACAGCTGTGATCCCCCACCCCGAGACCAATACTGGTCTGTGGCCCGTGAGGAACTGGGCCCCAGCACAGGAGGTGAGCATAGCTTCCACTGTATTTTAAAGCCGCTCCCCAAAACTCTCATCACTGCCTGAGCTCTGCCTCCTGTCGGATAAGCAGAGGCATGAGATTCTAAGCAGAGTGCAGACCCAGCTGTAAACTGCTGCCTACCAGGGATCTCGGTTGCATGCGCCTTATGAGAATGGAATGCCTGGTGATCGGAGGCGATATTATGGTTGCTGGCACACACTAGCTCTCTTCCTTTCTCATCGCCACCAGCCTCAGTCAGGCTTTCTTTCATCTCATCTGTGCTGGACTCCAGCGTGGTCTCCCCATCTCACTGTCCCCCTACTCCTATCTGCTATATCCATCGAGTTGCTCTATGAGATGACAGCTCCAGGAATTTGACTCTTGGGTTAAAACACAAAACAAATGTAAACCTCCATTGCATTAAAGGTTCTCCTGATTGCAGTTTAAGCATAACATTCTGGTTTGAGGTTTTTTTAAGTCTCATTCTGGTTTGAAGTTTTTTTAAGTCTTCATTCCATATTGATACTCTCCTTCCCCCTGCCCAGAAAACATGCTACAATCTTGATTTATTTTCTTTTTTTTCATGCTGTGTTCAAGGAACACCCAATTTGTCTTTTCAGAATTCTATCATCACTTAAAATACTATTTCCATATGGGACATAATCTGTACCAAAAAAATTTGTGTGTGTCTGTGGGTGTGACATTTATGGAGGTTATCAGGAAAAGATTATACAGTAGAACCTCCATAAGTCAACCCAAGGGGCTGTAACAAACTGGTCAACATACTGTAACAAACTGGTGGCAATGACGTGGTCAACATGAAGAACTAGGTCTATTATGCTGATATGTGCATGTCCAGTCTGTGAAAATTAGGTCAACTTAAGGAGGTAAGCAACGTAGGGAAGTGGTCAGCTATAGACCTTCTACTGTATAGCAATTTATACTCTGGCAGACACTTTATTTCTTTGTTGCTTGTCTCCTCTGTTAGACTAAAGTTCTTGACTAAAACATGTATTGTACTGGTCTTTACAGTTTAGAACCAAATATTAATTTTGCACATAGCAAGTTCTCAGTAGTTATGCAATCAAACTGAAGTTATTTGAATCAAATGCTGCAGAAAAAAATACCAATTTTATGCAGTGAACTGTCCTGGGGAGGTTTTTTGGATGGGGTCTTAGATAAGCCTTGGCATATATGGAAAAAAAAAAAAAACACAAAACGTGACAGAGACTTGATGATAACATTTTTTAAGAATCAGACCCTTAGAACAATTTGAAACAACAATCACAAAAAGCAGCTACTCTGATTTGCTTAAAGTCCTATTTTCAATAGTTTTAAGATATTAATCAGTTTGAAGGAGAAGGAACATTAGGGCATTTTCATTGCTAGGGTAATAAAGCAGGAATTACTAATACTAAAAAGAGTCATTAAAAATTAAAGTTATACAAAATATTTCTTTTTAAATGAATAGCAAAATGTTATTTTTTTCCCGGTATATTAAGTACTAAATTAAGCTACATGGAGATTTGCAGTCATATAAAAGCACTCTTTAAAATCTCATAAATGATTACTTCAAATATAAACCCTAGACAAATTCTTATAATTAAAAAATTACAAGATTTATAATAATATTTATAAATTTATGTCTCTTTAATGTTTATATACACACCATGGTCTATGACTATCTCCTAATCTAATGAAAGCTAGTCTTTTAATTCAAATATTGAAATGATTTTTTTACATAAACTCTCTTATGTCTGAATAGTTGGATCACCTTTGTATGTTTCTACATGACATAGATGAATGAAAGCCTATATTCTAATGAATTTCCTTTCATTTGTTTCTTTTCCAACTCTTTCTAGAAAACTCTATAGTTTCTGTGTGAATTATTTAAAATTACAGGTGCCTAGAGGAGAAAAATAAGTTTCTTAAGCAAATTTCCACCCACATCATTTCTTTTTTCATTTTTACTACTAAGACAACATAAAATGGCTTACTGAGAACAGAAATTTAACTAAATATTGCCCTAACCATGAAATTAACTTTGGCCATATAGTCTAGAAATTTAGGTTTTATTACTATGTTAACAACAACAACAAAATCCATAAGCAACATCTTCAATAGTGTGAGGTTCAATGTTGCAGTGAAAGGAAAATGTCCTCTTATTAGAATAATTTAATGATACATCTTGTTTTCACCCTACTTTTTTTTTTTTTTCACATTTTTATTATCTTTTAAATCAACTTCTTACTTGCTGCTGAAACTGAATGACTCCAGGTCCTTGCTTTATCTTTTCCCTAGTTTATCTCACTTCTTTTTTTTTTTTTTTTTTGGAAGCAAACTCTACACACCCTACTTCTTTTTATATTCAGAATTCTGAGGTGAAAATATCTACACATGTGGCAGGTAGAATAAAGGTTTCCCCAAGGATGGCCATATCCAGTTTCTTGGAATCTGTGAATATGTTACTTACGGGCAAAAGGAACTCTGCAGACATGATTGAGATTTTGGACATAGAGATGGGAAGATTTTCCTAGATTACCCACTTGGGTTCAATCTAAGCCAATGAAGAACTTCCAGAAAGGAATGCAGCTCCACTGACACCTTCATTTGATTTAGTTTAGTAACACCCACACTGGACTTCCAACTGAACTATAAAATGTCTGTGTCAAAACACTAAATTTGGGGTAATTTTTACAACAAATATAATAACTTAATACACCAGGTATATGGGAAAGTTGAAAATAAATTTGAGTGATTAATTAATATTTACCCAAAAGTGAGTATATATTGTTAGCAGTCAAAAGCTGAAGTTTCCACAGGGAGTTCCTACTCTTAGCTGAAGGACCATTTTGGAATACAAAAACTTAACCATGTAGCAAACAATTTACTGCCAATGTCCTAGAAAATTATACTAACTTTTAGACGATTTTCATGTTATTCATTTCTGAGCCTGAATGTATGAACAGAATATGCTTCAAAACGATTTTTCATAGTAATATGTTTGCTGCAAGCCTGCTACTTGAGCATGCCAAATGCAAAGAATGTACTCAGGAATGAGGGAAAAAAGTAATAAGGTTGAGGAATCAAGAGTAATAACCTAACTATTAATTAATATTGGTGTTTGTAGAATTCTGGAAGGCATCATATTTTAAAAAGCATTCAATATCACTGCTTGCCATATTTCCCTGTAGAAATATTTGCAATGTAAGGAAAATCATGTGAAATCAAAAGATGCCTAAAGTATCTCTGAAATATGATCCAGCATCATAATTCCTTCTTTGTTCCCTAATAGATATCACCATAGAGATCATGAATGAAAAATTCAACAACTGAAATGTGATGATGATGGGGTGGTGCCTGTGGCTCAGTGAGTAGAGCACTGGCTCCATATACTGAGGGTGGTGGGTTCAAACCCCACCCTGGCCAAACTGCAATTAAAAAAAAGAAAATGTGATGATGCAACATGATCCACATAATTTATAATGAAAATGTAATCATCCCAAATACTCACAGCAATTAGTAAAACATTGATAACAAAAAATATGAAAGGAGCTATTTTGAGTAAAAAAAAATAGTTTTCTTATTTTTAAAATAATCCTTTGTCTCTATTCAAAACTTCAACATTTTAAGTTAGAAATTTTGATAAAAGTCAAGCAAAAGATGAAAATACATACAGGGCACCGGATGGTAAAAAATTAAGTTCCTCATTTAAAACTTAGGAAGCCAAAGCAGTGTACCAATGTAAATTAAGAGATCAGATTTGAATTCCACTTCTATCATTCTATCTTGGACAAATAATCTTAAATGATGAAAAACAAATTTGGGAAAAGAAGACAACAATTTTTATTGTGACAAAGTTTATGGCTAACTTAAATGCCTAAAATAAGAAAATTGGTAAATGGGTCATCTATCTAAACTTCATGCACTAAAACAAATACAGTCTGAGAAAAAGTCAGTGTGAAAAATTTTAAACTTAGTATGATCTTAATTATTTAAAAACATGCATAGCAAGAAATTGGAACATGGTATGTCAAAATGTTATACATCATTGGCACCATTGTAGATTAATTTTGTGCTACATGTTTTTGTATTGTTTTTTAAATTTTTAATACTAAAGTTGATGGCATTTATAATGAGAAAAAGCATTTTGTAATGAAAAGGACATGTTCTAAGGTAAACAATCCACTCTGTCATCCAGCATTTCATAGACTATAATTGTGTCTGTTTCATGACAGTGTCGGAGGTAATGGACTATGACAGACCAAATCAAGGACTTTTCCAACGAGCATCAAAGTACATTTTAGGTGTGATCTGAGAAGCAAAATTATCTTCAATTTTACAGTCAATATTAACTATGAGGAAACTGGGTCCTGGCTGTAAGTTATGGATAAATATTTTACCAGGCCTACTATTTTTGGTACCTTACAAGAGCTAGTTTTTATTTACATTATTACTAAAGTTCTCTCCATAGTGTTAGGCCCCCAAATCATAATTATCATGTAATCAAATCCTACCTTTGCAAGATCATAGGACATAAATTCCATTACTGTAAAATTTATCCCAATACTCTAGATAATAATTAGTCTGATGTATCACCATAGCTCAAATAAAAAACAATATACTGGTGGAATTAATACTTACTGTGGTAGCACAGTGGATATCTTTCCATACTGTGGCTTCCCTGGAGAGATCAGAGACTTCGAACAAATTATCAAGAATCACTTCCCCAATCATGTCATGTCTAGAAAATCTGTCAAAATCATACACACTGAAATGGAGCTTTCGATTGCTTAGTTGGTCATATGCTACAGGAAATTGAAAAGTTTCATCAAAGAGAGGATTTAAGGTCTTCCTGTGCACACGGGTCTGAAATTTCTTCTTCCTATCTGGAAGAAGGTACATCTTCACATAAGGGTCAGAAGTTCCTGTGAAGTCTTTAGCAGGGAGATCTAAGGCTTTGATGATTTTAACAACTAGAAGTTCATTTTCATAATCATACTGGAGGGTGAAGTTGAGTTTCCCACAGGTTTTGACGTCTTCTTGTCTGTTGCCCTCAGAGTCCACAGATTTCTGTTTGTAGAGCTCCGGTTTTATCCTCCCAATGCTGGTGGTGGTTTCTCCTCTTTGTAAAACAGGTTCTGTGCCCATGCTAAAGTCAACACTGGAAACCTGCATTTGCCTGGGCAGGTGTCTCCGGAAGGAATTGTGGCTGCACACATACACACAGAATCATTTTGGTAAATCATTTTGATGACAATGTTACACAGTGGCATTAAACCCCCCTCTACCCTCAAGATCATAAAAAGATATATATATCTATATCTGTATCTATTATATTTAGATACATCTATATCTGTATCTGATATATTTAGACACACACACAATCAAAGAGCTTCTTCAAAAAAAAAAAAAAGGAATGTAATAGTCAAATAAAATGTCTCTTAAAATTCTAGATACACCTGAAACACAAATGTTCATTTTTATGAGCTTCTGGAACTTTGTCCTTGCCGTTATGAATATTGCATTAAAGAAACTTACAGAGAAATGTGATCATCAACAAAGTTTGAAGTTCCACAAAACATTATACATGCTATCAATCATCTGGGTATATCTAGATGTAAGCATTATAGACAAAATCATAAGGGCTGGCTTTTTTTTTCATCTTTTCATGAGTTATTTGGATCTCATAAGATTCATGTTTTAGTGACCACAGTGTTAAGATAAAAATTACACGTGCACATGTTCTTATGATGTGTTAACTATTTCTAATACTTAAGATAACTAAATGAACATTGACTTTTAAAAAGAATAAACAGTTGTGACTGCCAAAATGAGTACATGTTCCCCCTTTCAACAGGAAGTGGGCTTCAAAAACTCTAAGGATTAAAAAAGTATAGAATTTTAGAATTTGGGGCCAACATAAAAGAGTTTTTAAATTTCAAACTGAATTTTCTATATAGTCACTATTATTATTCATCTAATCCACATTTCTAGAATATTAAAGATAAAAGCTTACCCATATCTTCTAAATGTGGCTTGCACTGAGATCTGTGTCTCTCAAACATCCTCCATGTTTTCTGGCAGGAGCTATACCCACATACATGTCTTCTCCTGGCCTCAGCCCACGTCTTTTACTCTGTCTCTTCTTAATCTGCCCATCAAACTAATCATCTGTTCTTGGACCAAATTCTTTCCTTGAACCTAGTGTGGTTCTCCACATAAGTCCCAGCCATGTAAACATCTAGTCCCATGACTCCAAATCTCCAAGGAACGAGTTCTAAACTGGTGTCTTAATTTCATCCCAAATTTAAGCAAATTCATCACTTTCTCCCCACCTTTTTTTCTTAAACCAGTTTTCTGTCTCACAATCTCTGACAATAGCACTCACATTTTTACTAGTTGCTCATGCTTAGAAACACACTGCATGGTTCGAATCACTTTCCCTTTGTGCATAGGATTTACTCAGTTGTCTGTATCCTGTTGTTATTTCCTTTGGAACATCTTATGTAATTATCCTTTTTGCTCCATTTCCATTGCTAACCGGTTCAGACCCCTATCACTCTCTGCTTTGCCTTCTGCGGGTGCCTTCAGCTGCCTTTCCTTCCTCCAGCCCTCTCCTATCTAGACCGCACACTGTCAGGCCGCTCACTTCAAAACCCTCATTCATATCTGTTGTCTATCTACACCTGTGATAGCACTAAGTAATATGCAGGACACTGCTTAAATAGCAGTTTATTTATTTAAGATTGATCATTAAAGAAGAATAAAAAAATTAGTGACCATTTAGAGGTGAGATTCCCCCTAGACCAGCAGTTCTCAACCTTCCTAATGCCGCGACCCTTTAACACGGTTCCTGTAGGTAGCGACCCACAGGTTGAGAACTGCTGCCCTAGACACAATATCATTTGGGAAATAGTTATGAGCTGAGGATGTCGAACTAAGAAAGGAAAAGGAGCAGGGTCAAAGTGCAACGATGGATTGAGGTAGTTGTCTTCTAATCCCTGAAGGACGGTCATGACACAATAAGAATTTGCAGAAGTTACAGGAGGCAGACTTTAGCTTAATCTAAGAGAATGTTCAAAATATCTAGGATCTAACCAAGAAGGTGAAGGGGTGAACTTCCCCAAACTAGAAATGTAAAACATTTCTTCTTTTGAAGAAAAAGATTTCACCCTGAAGTGAGATTTCTGCCTCCAGTCCACCAAGGCAGAAAGCATTATGTGTTTTCTAACCCTAAAGTTCGGCAATTCTCCTTCATTCTTTGGTTCTTTGGTAATTTAATGGGTCTGAATATTCATGACACAGTATTATTAGTAGGTATATTAATAAAATTGAATTTATTAAAATCAGAATTATAACCTAAGGTACTGCTAAGTTCATTCTCTTTTATTTAATTATCTTATTTCCTCTAACTAAACTGAAATATTGAACAGTAATTCAAACAGCATCATAAAAATGCCTAGGGCTGCACTGAAATTAATTCAACCTCTCTATTCGTCCTCTTTTTATACAGATAAAGAAGACCGGCTCAAATGAGCAGTCAGAGTATCACTAACTCTGCCTTTTACTATTGTATTATTCATGGACTTCTTAAAAAAAATTCAAAGAAACTAGAGTCCAGTCCATATATTGCAAATTAGGATAAAGTTTGGACTGACAAAGTGGCAGAACAGTGCCACAGGTGAAAATACACGGCAGGTCTTTTTGAAAGGTCTTTTTATCAACACTCTGCTTAGCCTCACCACTGGCCTGAGGGGCTTGCAGTGTGCTGCCACAGAGAATTTTACGGGTGAGGGCGGTGCCTGTGGCTCAAGGAGGAGGGCTCTGGCCCCATATGTGGAGGGTGGCAGGTTCAGACCCAGCCCTGGCCAAAAAACTGCAAAAAGAAAAAAAAAAATTATACAAGTGAAAAGAAAAGGTTTAAGGAAAAATGATATGCCTGTATCAGATTGATATGAAATAATAATAAAAATTAAATGGGAAAAAATAATATCCATCATGATTTGGAATGAAATAAAACAATAATAAAAGGGAAAAATAAACAAATTGACATTATAACATTTTTATAATAAAAAAATCGGTGTGCCATTGCACTTCTGATTTTGCCAGTATTAGCTAATATAAGAGGTGTTTTAAATGTATGAGGACAGGTGTAAATTTTTTTTTTTTGCAGTTTGGCCAGGGCTGGGTTTGAACCCACCACCTCTGGCATATGGGGCCTGTGCCCTACTCCTATGAGCCACAGGCACCGCCCAGGTGTAAATTCTTCATTGACTTATTCAAGCCTTATGTAGCCATAGGAGGTATTTATTCTTATGTTCCCTGTTTTACAAATGAGGACACAGAGGCACAAAGAGGTGAGTAACTTATTGAAATCACACAGTCAGGCAGATGCAAAAATTAAAATTTGAGGGAATCTGGGTCTAGGGGCCAACTTTATCACCATGTTATACCATCATATTCATGGTGATCGTGTTTGATTAAATGACTTAAAGAATTAAACATTCTACTAAGCAGCCATGTAAAGTAGTAAAACATTTATATTAGTTTTTATACAAGTTTTTCCACTTAAACTTCATATACAATGTAATTAAATATCCACTAAGATCCAATGTTCATTTGGTTGAAATAGCTTGAGCTATGTTTTTTTTTTTTTTTTTTTTTTTTTTTTGAGACAGAGCCTCAAGCTGTCCCCCTGGGCAGAGTGCCGTGGCATTACAGCTCACAGCAACCTCCAACTCCTGGGCTCAAGCTAGTCTCCTGCCTCCGCCTCCCAAGTAGCTGGGACCACAGGCGCCCGCCACAACGCCCGGCCATTTTTTGGTTGCAGCCGTCATTGTTGTTTGGCGGGTCCGGGCTGGGGATTCGAACCCGCCACCTTAGGTGTACGTGGCTGGCGCCTTAGCCGGTTGAGCTATAGGCGCCGAGCCATTGAGCTATGTTTTTAGAGATATTTTTAACTTCCTTGATTGGTTATCAAGAATTCAAAGGGAATGAGGATGTTTGACTTGTAAATAAAATTACAATCAGGCATTGTGTACAAAACTCCTATCAAGTTTATAGTTGCTATACATTTTCTAAGAAATGATATATATTTTGAGAACAGTAAGTATCTTAGTAAAATCTGTAAGGCAATTTATATCATACATGGTATATTCAAACACCACTGATTAAGTCAAAATTTGAGTATAATTGAGAACCTATGTCTGTGTAGAAAAACGTACTAAGGACTATTTTATCTTAAGGGATTAGCTCCTAATTAAAACATACTGAATTTAAGATCCAATGTTTTAGTTTCTTTGCCCAAGTGAGTGCACGTGTAATCTTTACTAACTTACATCTTGAAGTCATCTATTTCTTCAGATCTCTCCCATTTTAATGTACATATTGAGCATGATGTGAAATGTATTTTGACTCCAAATCTAGCCCAGATATAAAGGAGCAGAAGGTTAAATTAGGGTCAGGAAAGGTTAGAAAGAATTTATGAAAATAAAAAAGAATAATCACAGGTAGTATATGTTATAATCTATTAAAAGAGTATAATCAACTTCGTATAGTCAATGTTCCTAAGATATTTAGAATATTTTATTGACTAATATAATATTCTTATTAAAATCACTTTCATGTATGCAACAAGCCTTTGATTTCTGTGGGCAAAATCCCTAACAGTTAGCTCCTTAATTTTTATGGACTTGATCTAGAATTTCACACTCTCATTTGCTTTTCAATATAATCAAACTTTTATGCTCCCCCCCAATAAATAATTTCTTCTTTATGCCTATGGATATTGTTCGTGCGGCTGTAAAACCCCTTCTAAGGGGATTCAAAGAACAGTAACGTTTTTGTTCTAGTAAGCCGGTGTCCTAATTATAGGGTAAATAGTGCATTTTCTAAGTCACAGTTAAGCTAGTCAGTTAAGAAAAGCTTTAATTATTCCAATGTTAAACTATTGCCATGACAACACAGATCTTCTTTTTCTTCTTGCTTTTCTCCTCAGCTTTTAGAATGACGGTGATTAGTGGCTATGGAGTATCACACAAATACCCAACCAATCACAGTGGAAGTCATCTGCCGGCCGCTAATCCCATTCTTATCCTTCCCACCTGGAGGGACCATCTAACTACCTTCCCAGAGGAGAAAAACTTCCCCCAGTTTCCCTGAAACACTGAGCGTGTTACTTGATGGCCCAGGAATATAACGTTTTATTCA